ATGCAAATGTTTATAAAATGATAAAACTTCTGGTATCCAAACTGGACATACATAGTTAATAGATTTGTACACAATGCATTTGAATAAATGACCCTCAAAGTAATGTTGCAGTCTTTTTCCCTCTGTTTAATAAATGCACAGTTCAATAGTAGTAATAATAGCAAATATCCAATCATATTAACTAATTCTCAACAGCTTTGTCTAATCTCTCCTACTGGCTAACTCCTGTGAAATAAATGTATCACCAACATCCAGAAAAGAATAAAATATTAGTTTAAAGGGAGCAACATTATTTGAGTCTACCAAAAGTCAGTCAAATAATTTCAGAAAAATATCTAGCCTATTTTTTAATCAAAAGATGGCTAAATTAACTGTGCATAAAAGCTTGCAGATAAACTATGAATCTATTATTCACAGTGAGATAAGATTTTCATCTCCATTTTAAATAATTTTACAAACAACTACAGAATGAACTTCTCTTTTGCAAAAGGTTATCATCATGTTCAGCACACAGTACAAACTAATGATAGATAATCTTCCTTACACATCTCAAAAGCAGAGGAAGGCGCTGAAAGTGTTTGCGGAATACAATTAATTCACAATTAACTAGGCTAAATCAGCCAATGAACAAAAAAATGAATCAATTTTCCCATACCTAATTAATGTAATATAATCTACCACTCTAACGGGCAGTATCTCATTCTGCTGTGCATAGACAGGGTTGCTATGAGTCGGACCCCACTCCACGTACCTACCAACAACAAGCACTCTAGTTGGTGTTATTTAAAGCAATGCCTTAACAGATTTTTTAACGTTTCTAACACCTTCAGGAAAAAATGAACAATGTGTGCCAGAGAAAGTAAAAGCTATCTAAGGATCTACCATAAATTCAATACAGAACACACCTATTGAGCTAAAGGCACGCCCCCTGCCCATCATTCTAAGAAACAGACCCAGCCTGGCTTTCTCCCTGTGAGCACTTCAAGCAATAACACAGCAAATCGTTTTGTAGCATACATGTCTTAGGTACATCATTTTCTCTTTAAAATTATGAACTCATCACACGTACAAACAGCTCTTCAAAACGGTCCACTAAACTGCTACTACACTATGTCTTAAACTGCCATCTATTATGTACTTAAAAATATTTACTAGCAATCGGAGGTTAATATGGAAACTATTACGGGGTGGCAATTATTGCTATTAAAAATATATAAATACTGTAACACTATGTGCTACCAACAAGATAAGATGCTAACAGAAAACACACATTAGCAAATTATAAACATTTTCATTAAAGAAAATGGAACTGTCATGAAACAAACATTATATGAAAATACTGAAATGGCAAACTGAAGTGAAAAATATACCTGGTTTGTACATGTGGGGCTTTACTAGATTATCAAAATAATATTTTATTATTATTTTCCTTTGATAATTCTATTTGGTTCTAGCTCAAAAGTGCAGATTTCAAAGTTTCTACAGTTAGTCATCCTCTCTTTCTGTAAAAATAAACTTCTCAATGAAACAAGAAGTCAGGTCAACAAAAGAACCCCTTAAAAGCTTCAAATATAGAATCAAAGCTCCTCAACAGGAATTAAGTACTAACGTGTTTCAATGCAGGGAGGAAGAACTTGAGATCATGCAATTACTCACAGAATCAGGAAGATTCTCAGCAAATAAAACCAACGTAATTGTGGCGCATACACACCTACGAATCAGCTCTCTCTCCTCATATACTTCAATCTAGCTGAAGGGCACAAAATTGCTTCTCTCCATCCTACCTCAACAGAGAAACAAAACTGAAGATACACTTCAGACCTTATGTGTGGAAATTATAACGTCTTCCCACAAGGGTGAGTTCACAAACCACAGGGTGCACTGTGACACTTTCCAAAAAGGCAGATCTAACACACTTAAGTGAATGATAACTGAGCGAGTGTGTAACACCCAGAGATGTGATGGACAGCATGAGAAAACAGTTTTGAGTCACAAAGGCGCAGCCAGGCATGCATTTAATGCAACAGCTACAAATCTCACAGCAGCAAGACGAAGGAACACATACAATGACCCGTAACATATATACACAATGCCGTTTTTCACACGTTAGGAGAGAGGAGAGGGGTTGAGAAGAGAACTTAAGAAATTCAATGCCTCAAAGGAGAAAAGTAAAAATTCAATAGCAAAATAAGTAAAGTGTCAGCAGAAATCTCAAGGCACTTAATTGCACAATCAACTTTTCTAAACCCTAATTAACACTTCAAGGTAACAGAAAGTGGGTAGGTCATTATCCTGGCACAGAACTTCAATCTCTAGTTTATATAATACGAGTATCTAGGTAAATTCTTCATAAACAATACTAATCTCTGATCAAAAACACTGCAGGCCAAAAGGAAAAATAAAGACGACTTCTGACAAAGCATGCTTTATTTTAACAGGTGATGACCATGTCTCCTGTGCCATTCTCAACTAGTCTATATAATGACTTCAGGCGACATTTTTTTCATATTCTAAGTTGCTGCTGTATATAGTTTTTAACCAAAATTCTCAATTTGCAATCTGAAAAATTTACAATAATCTGCACCTTTTTGACTGCTTCATAATTTAAAAAAAAAAAGCAGCCTCTTATCCACCCTCCCCATACCAAAGAATGAAGCAATTAAACACTTTACAATCATTAAAAAAAAAAAAAAACCCTGCATTTCTATGATTCTGGATTTGAAAGTTGCTACCTAAACAGTTATTCTTTGAAAAAAAAAAATTAAGGATAATTAAAAAATCAATTCCTGGTTTCAGGAGGGTTCCGGAGGATCCACTCCAACACAAACCCTGGGTCCTCACGTACCAAAGCGCTTCCCCAAAAGCATCTCCAGTGTCTTACCTGGACATCATCCCTCTCACTTGAGTTTTTACAGAAGATGAAAGCAACGCTGTGTCCTAGACACGGCCTATGCGTGTAATGTATTGCAGTTGTCTACAAGAACGCATGGTATATAAATTAACCACAGACACACAGCCATTACCAGTCAGCATGATATATGGTAAGGTGGGGGATCTCTTCTCACCAATATTGGTCTACCTGGTTATTTTAATTACCTGTAAAAGTGTCAATATGGTCACCAGCTGCCAAACAAAAAACATTTTAAATACTCCTTAATCAATATGTTTGCTAATCTATGAGAATCTCCGAACCTGACTGATACTACATGATAGACAGGGGAAAAAGAGGAGATAAAATGAGTTTTCTTCCCATGTATTAAAAGAGCAAGAGACAATCATCCAGTACTGACAAGAACCGCTACTTACAAAGGAATTTTAAAAGATTAAATATCTGAATAAAAAATATTTTTTTGAGGGGAGACTGAACCTGACAGTACTATAAGGGCAACACAGACACTGTCATTCAGTCTTTGTAGCTAAACTCTCATGTGTTGATTTTTTTCATCTGCATAAATACTATCACATATTTAATAAAAACAGCACTTTCATTTGAAAAGCTGGCAAGAATCTGCATTTCTCCCTACTAGTCTCAAAGGGGGGGGGGGAGCATCTATGCCACCCATAATTAAATGTAACTAATTACAATTTGAACACTAAATTATTTATCCAGTGTAAACAAGGATTATGGGGAACTGATGTTTCTATCTACAGCAGAGGTTATAAAAAATAATTTCCGAAATGCATACTCTCTAGAAAGCAGTCCCCCAAAAATGAGGTACACGACTTAAAATAAGTTGTTGTGGGTTTGTTTTTTTTTAAGGTTAAATTAAATAAACCGTTCAGCCAATTTTCCAATTATATTCTACGCTTGAAACATAATTGCCTTACATCTGTTTACAAACCTTTTCTCAATATTTAAACAAATTCGTACTCTCCCGGGCACATAGCTATACATACAGTAACTCAAGCACAAAGCACATATTTAAAGACCACGCACTGCAATTATTAGCCTAAACGCCAGGTTTAACAACGTGAATGTTTTCAGAGAAGGTAATACGACCCAATAAAAAGCAAAGATGGCATTTACCACCAAATGTCACTGCCACCGCCCGGAAAAGAGTTGCTGGAGTCCCATACATTTTTAATTTCGATGAATCTAGCCGCTGCCGTCGGGTGCCGGCTTCCACGAGAACAATTGACACCCTAACTGCTTCAAGATTAAGGCAGGCGATTCAAATCCGAAGGAAAAGTTGTCAATTATCAGAGGGAGAGGGAGCGAGGCGAAGGCAGATAAAGGCGATGTTATCAAACCGCCCAGCTTGTTGCTTTTGTGTTTGTGTGTGGATTCGTTGTTAGGACTGAGAAAACAGTTTTTAAAAGACACCGGGGGAGAGAAAATAGAAAAAGGTTTCTCCACCTTCCGTCGGCTCGGTGCAACGGCTTTAAGGCTCGGCTCTCCAGCGTAGTAAGCCCCGAGAGGCGGGCGGCTGTCGATGTTTACAATCGCGGCGGCTCCGGGTGCAACAGTCCTTTACTGACACAATCGCATTCAATCAACTGTTTTCGTGCGAAATTGCAGGTGTCATTATGGAATTAAAAAAAAAAATTCAAAAAGGCAGGCGGGCGGGCAGCCGATCCGACCAGGGAGAAACGGGCTGCTGCCCCTCGCAGGCGCGGCCAGCACCAGGCAAACCCTTCCTCTTCCACATTTGGGGAAAGGGGGAGCAAAGGGGAGGGTAAGAGGGTGTGATTGCAACCGAGGGTGGGCGTTCGGAGTTCGACCCAGAATCCGCAGCTTTGAGATTTCCACATGCAAATTCCACGCCGAGCGCCGCGCTCACAAATGATTTTTAAAGAGCCAAATAAACACTGGATGGAATCCAAGGCGAGGGAGAGACGATCCAAAGGGGGGAGAAGCGGCGAGAGGCGAACGGCTGGGAGAGGCGAGGGAGGGGCGAAGTCCCGGCGGCGGCGGCGGCGGGAGGAGAAAGTTGGTCGGCGGCGGAGGTCAGGGACCCCCCCCCCGGCCCAGCCCCCCTCCCCGAAGCCCGGCTACTCACCAGCGAGAAGAGGTTGGAGTGACAATCCTCCAGGCTCGCCCCGTTCGCCACCCAGTTCGCTGCCGCAGTCATGATCCTCCGCGAGCCCGGCCGCCAGAGCGGGGCATGTCGAAGCGAGGCGTCCGAGGCGAG